ACTCAAACTGATGGACGCGTTCCCCTGTCCTCCGCAGCCGTTGGCACCCATGCAAATTCCAGAGGCATCCAGCAACTTTTTCATTACGAGCAAGCGTGAAACGTGCAAAGCGAGTCTTTTCAATATACCTATAAAAAGCAGCATGAACGGCCCAGCTAGGCTCAGCCAGGCCTATAACGTTTTTAAGAGGTTTTATATCCAACGGCATCAGGTCTTCAGAATCCCGTGCAAGGCCTCATAGGCTAATGTGGGTCCTTACAGGTCAGCATGGGCCCTTAGAGGTCAGTGTGGGGCCCTAAAAGACCGGCATGGGCCGGCGTTGGACCCCTCAGGCCAAGGTGGACCCTCAGAGGCCGATGCGGACCCTTAGAGGCCGGCATCGGGTCTTCGGAATTCAGTGCGGGGCCCTCAAAGGCACCTAAAGGCTAGTCTTGGGACCCCAGAGACAGAAATGAGGCCAATAGAGGCCGGTGTGAGGCCCTCAGACGCCGGCTGGGCCCTTGAGGCCGGTTTAGGGGCCCTCAAATGAGGTCAATGTGGGTTCTCAGCGGTCAATGTGGGCGCTTGACCGCCACTGAAGGGCCCTCCGAGATCAGTGTAGGACCCTCAAAGACTGGTTTGGGAGCTGTTAAGTGGGATTCTTGAGTCTCGTGACAATCGAATAAGGGCCAGAGCCCCATACGCCCATGGGGGCCCATTGGTTGTTTGGGGGGCCAAATGATATGATGGCCCCCTGATTAGCCTTTGGAGGGGGGAAGGGCATGGCCCTGATCCCCCTCTGCGACCGCCACTGCACTGAAAGTGGAAGGGGGAGGGGCAGAAACAGACATTGCTGGCCCCCAGCCTGTTTGAACCGAGGCTGAGGCACGGTCACCCTGGCCCCCAGCTAGTACGCCTTTGACGAACTATGCCGACCCCAAGCAGATAAGGTCAAGCGTTGGTCTTTTGTATACGCATTCTCCTGCACCGTACTAGTATTGTCTTAGTATTGCCTATACCTTTTTAGTGCTCGCTGTCCCGCGCCTCGTATTCAACAAAATGCTGTCACCAGGACTCACAGCCTTGTCTCTGATATGGTTTCCTTCATTGAGTGAAGGAAATTGCGGTCAATAACGCTGTAGAAACAAAAAGGAATCCTCATTAAAGGGCAAGCTGAATAGTTGTCAAGTTACCGGGTGGTAGGTTAGGTAGACAGACACTTACGTCTGCAAAAAGTGGGGGGGGGGGCAGTTAACATTGCTGGCCCCCCACCTCCGAAAGTGGGGGGGCCATGGCCCCCCCGGCGTCCCTGTTCCTACGCCTATGGTTTCACATGTTTTATTTTTGTTTCAGAGTGGTGCCTCGAGTTAAGCGATTGCGCTTTTCTACCACTCTGCTATCGCTTTTATGTTGCTACATTGTGCCATATGTTTCATTGATCATGCTTTATTTCTCGTGTATCTTTTGCTCCTTAATAAACGTTTTGTGTGTGTGTGTGTGTGTGTGTGTGTGTGTGTGTGTGTGTGTGTGTGTGTGTGTGTGTGTGTGTTTGCACGTGCACAGCACGTGCACCGTGTACCCCAGCACATCTATTTGCACAGCGCCTTAGAGCGCTCGTCCAGTAGTGTCAGTGTGCCAAATTTGGTGTGCCTAGGTCAAGGTTTTCCGGAATCGGAGGATGCATCCTCAAAACATGTTTTTCGCCCCTGGCGCGTGCATTCCGCACCCCCTGCTGCAGAGGATATCATATGTTAACCCGCGCCGTGCTGGGGGGGGGCGTTTTTACGCCCCCCCCCCTCAGGTTTTTCGCGAATATCTCAAAAACGGCGGCGCTGCGCGCCGCCGTTTTTGGTACACGTGTTCCTACATCATTTCCGCACATGTTGTGAAAATTTCAGACCTAGGCCGTTCAAGGTCAGGTCACCAGGTCACGTCAAGTGACCTTACCTCAGAAAAAGTTCAAAGGCTCGCTATAGCTACACCGACTGAACGATCACTTTGAAACTTTCAGCGATTGATATGAGTAACAGTATGTATAAAATGTATATCTCGGATTTTTGATATCTGTGACCTAAGGTCAGGTCAATTTTGCGACCTCTCCATTATAAGTCAATGGGAGAAAATTGAAATGCGCCTCTTTTGGACGAATATCGTTCAAAACGCTCTCAAGCATCGGTTCATAGGTAAACATGACACACTGAATAGGAAAAATGCACCTGTGACCCCTCTGTGTGCCCCTGAGGTCATCTCAGGTCATGAACGGTCGCCAGCAGTTTTTTGGCTATAACTTTTGATAGAGACGTGCTAGAGCGGTGAAAACACGTCAGATGTGTTCAGCTCGACGATACGGATCGACTGATATGCAACATGACCCTTTTCGGTCAGGTCATGACCTTGACCTGAGGTCAAATTTTCAAAATGACCTTTCAAGGTCAACAAATAGTTCATTCGACGCGTCTCGACGAGAGGAACACGATGCTGGCAAAAGTAATGTCATGGCGCTTATGAGTCAAAAGTTATTGACGAAAAAACGTTTTTCGTAAAAACGGCTATTTTTGGAGTTTTTGCCCTCTGGAGGCTAAACCGTTGACCTGAGGTCAAATCTGAGAACATTACTCAGAAAGGTCTGTAAAAGGGCTATCGAATGCGCTTTTCTGCGGCGCTGTAGCTCTATCGGTTCCCGAGATAGCCGTTGGCAGTTTCCAAAATGTTGAAATAGTCAACATTTTACCTTTGGTGACCTCTGGTGACCTGACCTTTGACCTGACCCAAAAAATGACCGAAGTGTTTTCGTCCTTATTTTTGACGCTCTTTCGATTGCCGCTTACCGCGTGTCGCTACGTGGCCCAGGAGCCGAGTTAGACGGGGGGGGCGTGAAAACGCCCCCCCCCCAGCACTCGGCGGAAAGTTCAGGCCACCAGCACGGCGCGGGTTAATGGTCAAACACCGGGACATGTGACCTGTGAATTTGGCACCTGTGCCGCGCACCGTTTAATTTGGAGCGTCGCTTAAAGGTTTTTGCCCTTCCCGACTTTGTCGGCACGTGGTACGCGCCACGTGACACCGAATGACCTGTGACATGCATCATCACCTGCCTCAAAGCATTACCCATCGAACGGTACCAACAGCATCTCGATCCGATCATCCGTTTAAACGCAATTCTAATTGTAATGGTTCGATGACCTTTCAGGGCATGGTTTTTTGGCAACGTAAAATGGCGCCTTTTCGGCTTCACTATCTTCCATAGGAGGTCCATTGGGATCGTCAGTCCAGTTTATTTATACGTCCGTGCCTCCGGCGCCCTGTTTTCACCGGCGTCCCAATATAGGATGTTACATGCGCAGGTACTCAGCTGTTCAGTGTCAGCTGCCCAGCCTACCGCGTCGTTTTCGCCACTTTCGCAACTAATGTCAAATGCCCAATGGTTCAGTGCAAATGCCATATGTAAAAGGTTCCCTAAACTTTCTGAATACAGTGATGACGTCATGGAATCTTTAATGAAGAATGACGCATACAAGTAAGGAAAGGTTGAGCATGGATGATATAACACCATTATTATATCATCCATGGGTTGAGTAAGGCGGTATTTGATCGCCTTGAGTAAGGCCAGGCTACATATAAGACTGGCCAAGTGCTGAACACATCTGACGTGTTTTCACCGCTCTAGCACGTCTCTATCAAAAGTTATGGCCACAAGACTGCTGGTGACCGTTCACGACCTGAGATGATCTAGGGGGCGTACAGAGGAGTCACAGGTGCAGTTTTCTGATTCAGTGTGCTATGTTTACGTATGAACCGATGTTTGAGAGCGTTTTGAACGACACTCGTCCAAAAGAGGCACATTTCAATTTTCTCCCATTGACTTCTGGTCACTTGACGTGACCTGGTGACCTGACCTTGAAGACCCGGGTCTGAGATTTTCACATGTGCGGAAATGATGTACGAACAGGTGCGCCGCCGTTTTTGAGATATTCGCAAAAAAAAACTGACGGGGGGGGGCGTAAAAACGCCCCCCCCCCAGCACAGCGCGGGTTACGCCATGATAAATGTATGGGCCCTTTTCACCGTGCAATGGCCCTTTTCACTATGGGCTTCTTTCACAATGCATGGGCCCTTTTCACCCTAGCACCCCACAGTCTCCCAACCTTCTAACCACTAATCTTCTGCACTCTTCTAATCAATTCTAACTGTTAAACAAATCCTATCCTCACCTTTAGCCCTATGCAGCGCCATTTATTGATTCACGTTTCACTCAATCTCCCGATGCTGATCTCAAATGCTTCTTTCGTTGATGATTAAATATAGGTATGTACCACCGGTGGACTCCGGGGAAAACAACAACAACAGTCAAAAATTCGTGGCGCCGCCCCTGGTTCTCGGGCCGGGACCCCTCACCCCACCTACCGGCCTTGGCCGTTTAAACCATATTTACATTAATTTCGGGTGCTCGGCACGTGCATTTACCCCCATGCCGAGCCTATGGCGATTACGAGAGACTACTTTCAAATCAATTTTGCCAAAAAATTCCCAAGTCCCACGTCAGATTTTGAAGAAAAAAAATCAGTATGTTGTGATACCGGGGTGTCGGCAACCACGTGGCATACGGCACATATGGGGCAATTTAAAAGCACGTGCCACGCAACCACGTGCTTGATTGGGGAACCTCCTCCCAAATCGACATTGGCTCACTGAAGGTCGTATGGCGCGGGAACGACTCCACCCAGCGACACCAAATGGGTGCAGACGGACGACGGGGAGCAGATGAGTCGACCTTGCTGCACCCGTGGTCACCTCACTCAATTTCTGCACCCTAAGGTACCTACCTACCTTCCGTCCTCGAGCACCCTCAAAACCTCTAAGTCCTTACCCCTGGTTTGCAGTGGCATGGGGATAAGTTTTTCGACAGCTCTGCCAACGGCTCCACCTCCAGGCTGCACAGTGCACGGGCGCCATTTGCCGAAATTAGAAATATAATTTAATGGCTCGCGGGCCCAGACCATATATAAAAACAGCACCCGCGGTCAGTTGAATGATATTATTCAGACGATAAGGACAAATCACGTTAGCGCAATCTGGATAACGACGACTTGAAACTCGAGACGGATGACATTAAGATGCAGAAGTTGTGGTGCATAAAAGAACAAATACCAAACATTAAACGTATTGTGAGTACGCACTGCATTGTGTAAAAATGACATTTTTGTCTGGTGACAGCATACTGTGTAACACGTCCTTTTCGGAGCTCGTGTCCTTTTCGGGGTTCGGGGCCTCGGGCGTCTGGTTCGTTCCCCCCGGTGCCTACTGGGAAACAGACAGCTTGCAATGGCTCGGGAACGCGCTGGCCACTTGGTTCGCCTCCTGGAAGATGCAGCTGAAAACGCCCATATCGGCCCAACAGTTGACGAAGTCCTCTGTTTTCTTGCTTCCCCTACACATCTCCACGACGTCCAAAAGGTCCGCAGCGTTTTGAGCATTGGAGCTTTCGATCGCATTCTCTAGAGCAGAGATGTCGAGGTTGTTGCCGTTTCGGAAGTTATCCAGAAGGCAAATGACGTTTTGAATGGTGTCGGCATACATCTGAAGCGCGTTACCAGTGGGGCTCGAGTTCAGACTGCACTGTTCCAAGGTGCGACCGGAGACGGTCTCCAAGGCAGCCGCCAGCGTACTGGGACTGAGCGGACACTGGCCGAAGAAGAAGTCGACTCGTCGCTGCGCTCCGACGGCGTCCATGGAGTCGCTCTGCGCCCGCTGCTCGTCGCAGTCGGCGAACCACGACCAGCGGAGGCAGAGGAAGCTGCTGACGGCCAGCTGTGGCAGCGACAGGCCCTGGTCCGCGGCCTTCTCCACGCAGTCGTCAATTATCTGGTACGTCTTGTGGAGCCAGTCCTGGTCGTCGCTGAGCTCCGCGTTGTGAGCCTTCATGCCGGAACGGAATGAAGTTGAATCCGCAACACCGTCCAGAAGACCTTGCCTGGGGAATGGCGTTGTTTGCTGGTCATTTATGAAAATTTGGTAGTCAGAATAAGTTTAACACAAGTTTTGGTGACAATGCTTGTGCATCAGTAATGAAAATTTAGTTGATTATGTAATTTATCTTACTGGCATCCCATTTACACGGTAACCGAACCCGCCAGGCGAGGGCCTTTTCCATAACACGGACGGTGAGGGGGGGGGGGTTGGTACGACCCCCCTCGCGATTGGCTCCTATGGCACTTAGACACGCCAAATTTACAGGGTAGGTGGGTCCATAGGAGATCTCGCACCTGGGAAAGTTTGGTGACTCTAAGTCAATATTTAGGGGGGTTGTGGGGGGTAAGTATGTTGCCCCAGAGGGTATGCCAAATTTGGCGGCGCTACGCGCCGCCGTTTTTACGTTATTTGCGAAAAACCTTAGGGGCGGGGGGGGGGGTTGCATCGACCCCCCTCGTCGGGCGAGGGTTAATCAAAAGTAACGTCTGATAATTTGACAAACCAGCGATCTACGGAACTGTGCAACCCAAGCTGATAACTCCTAAGGAACACAAACCGCGTTTTCACGACGGGCTGTCTGGCGAATGCATCTAATTTGACCAAATCTGCACCGACTCTCCTTTGCGACAATTATCTTCAAAGAATTAGGTACTTCAGTGTTTTAATCGAAAATAATGTCTGATATTTTGAAAAGTGAGGTATATAAGCATCTGTGCAACCCAAACTGATAACTTTTATGAAACAAACGTGAAACTAATTTGACCAAATCTGCACAAAATCTGCACCTAATTGCACCAAATGTGTGTCAGATGTCCGTCGTGAAAACGGCTACAATGAACCTAATTTGAACAACTCTGCACCAAATATGCACCAAACGTGTACCAGACAGCCGTCGTGAAAACGGTTATTGCAAAGCCGTCGGCGGTGACGCACCCGTTGACGTAGCAGTTATAGAACAGGGGGAGTCGCTGCACTCCCCGGCATGGCGCCGGCGGGTCGGAGCCGCCCACCAGTTCCCCGCAGTTCGGAGCTACAGGCTGAGTGGCAGAAGAGTTGAAGTCTCTCGGCAGACATTGGCGCTCCCCCAGAAGCGCGAACGTCGATGCCAGTAGATCGGCGTCAAAGACCGAGGCGCTGGCACCTGCAAACAACTCAGTCTTAGGTGGAATTTGAAAACGGCTGACCCTTGCCTCCCGTCCTTGCCGTGCCACACTTGTCAGTCAAGCGCCGCCAGCCTGAATACTACACAGTACAGTGCACATTGCGCATGGCGTCCACCGCTGTCACTAAAAGTAAGCAGATACATACACTGCTCAGTGCTCACTGCGCAGTCCTCAGAGCGCATTGTTCATCTGCCACCCATGACAGCGCAGATAGCATGCACCTGTTGAGTATCCACGACAGGTTGGATGAGGATGTAAATTCACAAGCTTTGTGTGTCTTTTTGGATATGTTTGAATGCATTTGTAATAATTAAATTTGTTTATTTATTTACATCATCATCCATAGCACGCACCGTAGAAACACAGTGCACAGAGTGTGCTGCTCAGTGAGTGCTCACCTGTCACCAAGAGCAGCGCAGAGGCGAGGAGGCCGACGGGGGCGGCCATGGCGCTAAGTTCGACGGAGTGGTGCGGACGGTGGGACGGCTGTCGCTGGTCTGCACCCGTCCTGCTCGCCGACGGACCGAGGCCGACTTTCTTTATACAGGTGTCTGTTCGATGGCGTTTTTTATCGGCATGCTGTTCCGGCTGACATGAATGGAGGTTATTTCCTGGCTCTTCTCGGCTTTTTCATTGGTGAACAGCAAAATCCTTGCTTGTCCCTTGCCCCACTTGCGCATTGGCAACTAAGTACCAAGCATGTTTTATAGAAACTGTTACTATTTTGATATAATGCCAGGGCTGCAGAGTCGATGGATTTTAGGGTGACTCCGACTCCGACTCCGACTCCGGCTTCAAAAATCGACTCCGACTCCGACTCCAACTCCGACTCCGACTCCGGACGGTTCTATTAACCCGCGCCCCGTTGGGCTCTGCCGAGCAATGCTCGACAGAGCCCCCCCCCCGTTGGGGGGGGGGGCAATTTGGACCCCAAAGATCTCGAGAACCACGCAACCTAGCGACAAGCGGCAAACGGTGTTGGATAGCCCTATCAGGGAACTACCTTGTGACCCAATTTTATTGACCTACATAGGTCAAACCGATGACGTCACAGGTCAGGTCAAAGGTCGAATTTTCACCGTTTACAGGCATTTCAAGAAATGCGTTGTAAAATCGAGTAAAATGCATTTCATTGAAAATCATCGATGGGGAAATGTTCTTCAAACACATATTTTGCTATTTGAGGTCACTGATACCAGGTCAGGTCACAGAGGTCAGGTCACTGGGGGGTCACAATATGAAAGTGTCGTGTGATGCATGTTTTATGGTCAATTTTACATACATGACAAATGCGATTATGTGGGTCAGGCAGACTTTTGGGCCAGCTTAGGTCACGTTTTGTTCAAGGTCAGGTCAAGGTCAGGTCAAGGTCAGGTCAAGGTCAGGTCAAGGTCAGGTCAAGGCCAGGTCAAATTAGGTCAAATTTCAAAAGTGATATTTTTGCATAAAATGGGCATCGATTCGTTGCAGCTCGTCACGGGGAGCTCAATGGTGGTCTTTGTTTTTCCCTACGTGGTCTAGAATCGCTAAAAATTGAGTTCAAAAATTTGACGTCATCATTTTGAACAGTTTTTTTCGCTATAACTTGGCCAAAAAACGAGATATCGATCTGAAATTTGGTATGTATATAGAAGAGCACAGGGAATATCATATATATTCCGTTTTTTTTCGAAATTCGGAAATTTTTTGGATTTTTTGAGTTTTTCTAACAAAATCAATTTTTTGAATTTTCGGGGAACAAAAACCCAGAATTTTGAAAATCCGACATAGCAGTTTTGTAGCACCGCTTTTTGTCTACTAGACCATATAAAGAACTTTGAAATTGCTTGGTAACTGTAAATTTGGTGAGCGTTTCAAGATTGCATGTTTTTTGCTCATTTTTGCTCGAACATGACCTCAGTTTGACCTCAATAACTCCTGACCTAAGATGACCTAAGACTTGAAATTCGGTGTGAAGGTGTCAAATTGATGCCCGGGAAGGTACTGAAAATTTGGCGGCGCTGCGCGCCGCCGTTTTCTTGCTATTCAGGAAAAACTACAGGGGGGGGGGGGGTAAAATGCCCCCCAAACGGGGCGAGGGTTAAAATCCATATCATGATATTGAAGTTCATAACGGATATGTTTTTATCTTGCCTGAAACGATCCTTTGTGCGTTCCGCCTTGGAACGCACAAAGGATGGATGGAAAATGCAATAAATAATACGCATTTTTTATAAGGTGGAACGCACAAAGGATGGAAAAATGCAATAAAAATAACAAGCAAGCAGATTCTGGGGAATTCACAGTCTTGCTTCTTTCGCTGAAAACGTTCGTTCAAAACAGCAACATGGCCTTTTTTCGACAAAATCTAAGTTCGAGCGCAGCATCGGCAATCTAACAGGTGCAGGTGTAGATTATTGATTATCGTTCCGCATTTTCCAAAATCTTGAACTGAATCTTGGCAATTTCTCGTGACTACTTCACGTCCATGATACATTCATTTCTTAACCCGTGACCTGGTGGGGGGGGGGGCTATTTTTTGCCCCCCCCCCCCTCCAGACTTTTCGATATATCTCGAGAACCGCTACGCCGATCGTCACCAAACTTTCAGTACCCTCACGGACATCAATTTTACACATTGTGACAAAAAAATTTTCCAAAGGCTATGATAGGTTGGCCGGAAATGACGTCAGAGTGACGTCATGTTCTGCCGTTTTCGACCCAAAAAGGGTTTCGCGGGAAGAGCTCTCAGGCCTACAGCTTTGCAAATACAGAAAAATGATAAAGACATAAAAGCTGTAGAATCAACAGGGCTACAGAACTGCTATCTCGGATTTTGGAAAGTTTTGGATTTTGACCCCCAAAAATCAAAAAATAAATTTTTTGGATATAATTATCGAAAAATCCAAAAAGTTTTCTGAATTTCGCAAAAACCGGAATATATGTGATAGTCCTTCGCGCCTTCCATCCACATACCAAATTTGAGATTGATGCCTCTTTTTTGGCGAAGTTATAGCGAAAAAAACTGTTCAAAATTGATGACGTCAAATTTTCAAACTCAATTTTTAGGAATTCTAGACCCCGTAGCGCAAAACAAAGACCACCATTAGACTCCCCGTGACGAGCTGCATCGAATCAATACCCATTTTATGCAAAACTATCAACTTATAAATTTGACCTTTTTTGTCCTGACCTTGACCTGACCTTGACCTGAACTTCACCAGAAAGTGACCTAAGCCGTACCTAATAGTCTTATAACCAACACCATTGAGTTGGAAATGAAAAATTGGCCATAAAACATGCATCACACAACCTTAGTAAAGTTGGGCTCATGTGACCTGACCTGTGACCCTTGGTGACCTGACCTGTGACCTGACCTAGTATTGTCAGTGACCTCTAATAGCAAAATATCTACTAGGCAACTGACGCCCTATCGCTGATTCTCGACAAAATGCGTTTTCCTCGGTGTTATAGCGCATTCCCTAGAGGACCCGTGAACGGTGAAACATTTCATCTTTGACCTGACCTGTGACGTCATCGGTGACCCCGAGGTCAATGAAATTTGGTTTCCTTCAACAAATTTGACAGGCCGTTCGAACGCCGTTTCAATTTTGCGGATCCGTCCAGTAGTTTCGGAGATACGAGGGGGGGGGGGCAAAAAATAGCCCCCTCCCACCAGGTCGTGTTATAAACAGACCCACCAGGGCGCGGGTTAAATTGAGCTTTTTGAACCGAACACGTACACATATGATAAAATGAATGTCACCATCGTGTTCTACGCCCAAAATTACGCATAAAAATGTGTCACAGGCTGCGAATATCAGTTTTGATTTTTCGGGGATATGTGCCTACCCGGTTGACCTGACCTTGGCCCTGACCTATGCTTGTCTGACCCCTACATGAAGCTGACACTTTTGTAGGCCTAATATGAAGGATTGTGCACCGTTTTGACAGAGTTTATGACGAGAGGCGCCCATTGCGAAGTCCTGAAGTCCAGGCTACTGAAAGCCCGATGTCAGGTGTTTGACCTGACCTTGACCCGACCTGTGACCTCAAAATTCAACTTTAAAGTACTCATCTGAAGCGTCTCGTCCCGTTCTTTCGTTTGCCGCCTCGTGCGTTTTGCTGCGCCTATTGGTTCTAGAGTTACTGGCTGGGGGCGTTTAACGACCCCCCCCCTCCCCAGCAAACGGCGGGTGGCGAAATACCCCAGCAACTGCCGGGTTAACGGGGCCGGCCGGTCGACGTGTAGGTTTAACCCTCGCCCGTATTGGTGTTTTTCCAGCCGCGAACGTATAAGGGGGGGGGGGCCGTTGGACCCCCCCTTGCCGTTTCGCCCCTGATCGAGCTAGAGCTTCGCGGAAAAAAACGAGCGTGTTGCCCGTGACGAGAGCAAGCCGATGATACCTAATTTTAGGGTCCTAGGTCATTGGTTGACCTTGCAGGTCAGGTCAATGACCCAAAAGTCGGGAAAATCGGGACCTGTTAGAACAGTGGTCGGCAGGTCATTCGGGATCGTGCCCCCTTTTTGGGCGCCAGGCAGGGCCATTACCCCCACCTACCAGACCCCATTGCTGACACAACCAAGTTTACTGAAATTCCATACCATCCTGGAACTCTTTGGGTATTTGCGCATTTCCAATGCATCAAGTTTAAAACATGACACTTCCTCCACAAAACATTTAATGCCTATATCCCAGTAGCGGCGGAACACCTTCAATTAAGGGGGAGGGGAGGGGGGGGGGCACTGCTGACTTTTGGTCCCATTCTTTCCATGCAACGCCCATAGGGCTAATGTTAAAATGCAAAAATCAAAGGGTGCACGGTGCCCCGGTGCCCTCCCCGTTCCGCCGCCTATGCTATATCCCATTTAACCCTTGTACAGTATATCTAAAAAGTATGTCCCCTGGTTTGGCTCTCCCACAGGAGGCGAATCGGTAACTTGGCTGAATCCCAGTTGCGGCACCCGGCCGCCAGGGTCGCTGCCGCGCGAGCGGCCTTGACCGCTCGCATGTCATTGGCAGTTCGGTCCCTCCCCATCTATACCGAGGTAAGGAGGGGAGAAGAGGGGAAGAGAGGGGAGGGAGCGGCATCCGCTCGGCACTTGGCGACACCTGGCTGACCCCGCGCTCCCTCGCTGACCTTTGTCCTGCCCTCAGGCGAAGCCCGACTTCCTGGCCTGTAGTGGCCGAGCGGAAAACTGAGCTCGCGGGGCGCGACTCCATCGGCCCAATCTTATAAATGGAATGCTGTCGTATTCACGGCATTAGATAATATTAATAGTGATACCAGCAGTGGATGCGGTAAAATACAGTCCAAAATAAACGAAAGCACTCGATTCGTGCATAATGCGCCCTCCCATTCAAATAAGCCCGCCCACTTCGATAGATGGTGTAGTTTCTTAGGGCGTAAAAGATGCAAAACACTACCGATTTTTTTTAGCTCGGCCACTGGGACCGAGAATATACAATTGACTGAAATGCATGAAAACCATTTTGCATTTAGGTAATAGCCGTTTTCTGCACCCAAACATTAGCCAGTGACGCCCTGTCCATTCTAAAGCGTTTATAAGATTGGTCCCAGCACCCGATTTTATATGAGGGAGTCGA